ATCTAAAGATATCTCTCGGATATACTCCAACCCTTTCAGTTGTCTTTCTTGCCATCTCAAAGATATCTCTTAAGCATACTCTGACAATCTTCTACTCAAATTCTGACATGATATCAGAGCGTTTGTTCTAATCGAGCTTCCCCTAACCTCTGAATTCTGCGAACCCACTCTAACCTTCATTGTTTGTTGGATTCCTGCAATTACATTGGCACTCGAGTGCAAAAGTTATTTGATTCAAATAAGACTCGATATTTGATAAGAATTAGTGTTTGATTTACTTTATTAGTATTAAGATCATTAATTTGGGTATAAAGGAACACATTTTCAATTTATCATTAAAAAATAATTATGAGAAGCACAGTTTTTAAATAAATTATTTTTCTTCTCCCTTCGGTGTTGCATACTCAATTTATTAGTATTCTAATGAAAATTATCATTGAAAATTAATATTTTTAATTAAAAAAAATTCTATGAACGAGCCAACCATGCATCTAGTTTGATGAAATGCATTCAAATCCTAAGTGTATTTGTTTTACTAAAGAATAAATTATAGTATAATATAATATAATATTTGAAGGATAATATAATATTCATTCTTTAACAAATTATAATAATTTATTGAAGATAAATTGTCATGGTCTTTCTTAATCACAAAATAAATAATTTCATCTCATGACTCAGACAACCACTTTCAACTTTTACAACTACAATTTTTAATAATGTTTAGTATGAACCAAATTATTTTAATAAATTTATTCAAGAACAAATAAATGCTCCCGACAACAACATAAAAAAAAATCATTTAAATGTTAAAACATAGAAAAATTAACCAAAAAAAAAACCAACAAAATGATGGTTAAATTTTAACGACGTATTAATAGTTCATTAACCCCGTTAGAAGCCCTTTAATCTAATAGAGTAATGCTACGTTTATAAATAAATCTTATAAAGATTTTCATATAAAGTAATGTGGCAAAAAATGAATAGAAAAGTGATTATAATGAGTTTGATTTTTTGTTTCACTCTTTCATGTATATTTTGCCATCTCACTTTGTATGAAAATCTTTGTAAGATTTCTTTGTAAATATAATATTATTGAATCCAGTAAGATCACGTTGAAATAATAGTTTTTCATTTTAAAAATTAATTTAGAATAAGATAAAGAAAATATTATTTGAAAATCTCAAAATCTATTTGTTAAACAAATTAGAGATGTTTTCAAAAGGCACAAGTTCAAAAGAGTTTTGTACCTTCAAAAATTGTTTCCCAATAAACAAATAAAAGCATTTTTTTATTCTTTTTCTTAAACCACACGTTAGCATAATCTAATTTTGAAACATTAATCCAAATATTACCATAAAAAGTACATCATTTTTCACAAAAATTTTACAAAATGTTTTTGGGCAACACAAATTAAGAATTTATAAGTTAATTTATTATCTCTAATTATTACAATTAATTGTGAAACTTATATGCTTTTGGGATTGCATTACAGCATACATGTGATTAAAATATATATATTAAAGTTTCATTGTTTCCTTTTCACGCTATATGAGAACAAAATAATTAAAATAAATGATGATCTCACCATTAATTAAGTTTCTCCAAAACCCATTATTTTAAATTAATCATGATTTGATATTAAAATTAATTTAATTACTGTATGCTCCGAAAAGCATCTATAAAATAATTTATAAATTCTTGCTTTTGGCTTTGTCTTTGTCTATTAGGATAATTGTTGCATGGTAATACTTCAAATCCACTTTCTTAAGGGTCACCATTTTAATTTAATCATATAATTTAATAAATTAATCATCTTGATTGTACGTACTAATTATGATTAAAATAATTATTAAATAATCTTGATTAATTCATACACGATTACTTAGTCCAAAAGCATCTTTTATTCTATTCATAAATTTAATAGTTTAACCCTAAGTAAGGGCAAGTAGTTTAATTAATTTCACATGTTAACTATGTCATTGTCTTGGGAATTATTTAAAAAATACAAAATTATATATCATTGTCAATTGTCATTAAGTAATCCATGTTTATGCTTAAAATATTTATCTTTTTCTTACCAAATCTTAATTTACTAATTAATTAATCAAGCTTGTGCTTAGTTGTTTGGTTAATAGATTATAATATTAATAGTTAGAGATTGTTGACGTGTAATTTTGTTTTTGATTTAAATGATAATTAAATTATTAATTAACATCTCTCTCCTTGGAACTCTCTCCAACTTCTACAAATTTTATTTTTCATTTTAATCAATAATTTTTCTTTATTATATTTATTTGGATTATTTATTATTTGCCTTTCTTTTTAATAACTAATAAAATCATTTTATTTATTATTTTCCTTAATATTTAATAACTGATAAAATCTTTGTACAATTTTAAAAATTTGATCAATCTCTAAACCACCCTTTTCAACCTTGTCCGGGGTGGCTTTGAAATTATCATATCATTTTAAAATTTATTTATTTGATGAATAAATCTTTTCTTTATAAAAATTAGTTAAATAAGATATCATTGCGCAGTCGAAGAAAAAAACACGTGAGATAAAAACTACGGATAATTACCCAGTGCGTGCTGTTTACACTTCTATGTGTCAGAAACTCAGAAGAATAGTTAAAGCAATAGATTCCTTTAAATTAAAACACGTGTTGTCTGTCATTTACCAAACTTTACAGCTCAGTAACACGCTCTCCATTTTTTAAAAATTTATTTTTTTCATTTTCCTAAAATTTCATACTATAATGTTTAAAAAAATAATTCAACTTTTGTTGCATGTATGTGTTTGGTCTTTTGCTTTGTTTTATTATCCAACCTTATCTTTTACTTTCTGCTACTTGTTGGATTATTTTTCTTTTCAATTCTTACGTTTTCAAAATTTTCATTTAAAGAAAAATTGTAGGTGTTTAGATCAGTTTACGCGTATTTTAATTAATTTTTTGAGATCTTAAATTTATTATCGAACAAAAACTTTAATAATTATCTTTATTAGCAATTAATAATATATTCGAACTCAAAATCTCTTAACTTAAATAATATAATCTTTTAACTTAAATAATATATATAAGAGTCTTTCTTCAAACATAAATTCATATTAAATGAATGAAGTTTTGTGGCAGAAATAAGTTCCACTCTTGCACGAAATCTAGTAACAAATCCGTGAAGACTGTATTTAGAATAGAAAACATTTACTCGATTCACCCCACGCATACAAATTAATCAATAATAACTTAACGTCACTCTTACGCATGTTAATCTACAAGAAGGGGTTGATAATAATTTCCTTTGTTTAAATATGAGCCGTTCGATCTCGGGCGAAGCCCCTTGGAAAACTATCACAGCCTCTCTGCAACCGTAACTGCCGCTAACTCACAACTCGCACAAAAAAGCGGCGAGTACTGTGAGTACGACTTCTAGTCTACTAGAAATATCCCCGATTAATCGGCGACCAATTTGTATAACGATTTGCTCGGTATTAAAGCCACAGGTAGAACTAGTCACGTGTCAGATATGCGTTTCAAAATCTGATTGGTCATCACTCATTACATGTGCGGTACCACCGACAGGTGGGCACCAATTTGATAATGAGTGAATTTAAGACTGAAGCACATGTTACGAGACCGGACCAACCGGTAACCTGACCGGATGAACCGGTAACCGAAAAACCGGTTAATAAGAATGCAATAATAAATTAATTTTATTTTTCGTGATTTTTAATTTAAAAAATTAGCGGTCAAGATCTTATAAATAAACCACGCTTTAATAAAACTGAAAAACCACTTCTCTCTCTCTCTCTGTGNGGATAATTAACCAGTGCGTGCTTTTTACACTTATATGTGTCAGAAACTCAGAAGAATAGTTAAAGCAATAGATTCCTTTAAATTAAAACACGTGTTGTCTGTCATTTACCAAACTTTACAGCTCAGTAACACGCTCTCCATTTTTTAAAAATTTATTTTTTTCATTTTCCTAAAATTTCATACTATAATGTTTAAAAAAATAATTCAAACTTTTGTTGCATGTATGTGTTTGGTCTTTTGCTTTGTTTTATTATCCAACCTTATCTTTTACTTTCTGCTACTTGTTGGATTATTTTTCTTTTCAATTCTTACGTTTTCAAAATTTTCATTTAAAGAAAAATTGTAGGTGTTTAGATCAGTTTACGCGTATTTTAATTAATTTTTTGAGATCTTAAATTTATTATCGAACAAAAACTTTAATAATTATCTTTATTAGCAATTAATAATATATTCGAACTCAAAATCTCTTAACTTAAATAATATAATCTTTTAACTTAAATAATATATATAAGAGTCTTTCTTCAAACATAAATTCATATTAAATGAATGAAGTTTTGTGGCAGAAATAAGTTCCACTCTTGCACGAAATCTAGTAACAAATCCGTGAAGACTGTATTTAGAATAGAAAACATTTACTCGATTCACCCCACGCATACAAATTAATCAATAATAACTTAACGTCACTCTTACGCATGTTAATCTACAAGAAGGGGTTGATAATAATTTCCTTTGTTTAAATATGAGCCGTTCGATCTCGGGCGAAGCCCCTTGGAAAACTATCACAGCCTCTCTGCAACCGTAACTGCCGCTAACTCACAACTCGCACAAAAAAGCGGCGAGTACTGTGAGTACGACTTCTAGTCTACTAGAAATATCCCCGATTAATCGGCGACCAAGTTGTATAACGATTTGCTCGGTATTAAAGCCACAGGTAGAACTAGTCACGTGTCAGATATGCGTTTCAAAATCTGATTGGTCATTACTCATTACATGTGCGGTACCACCGACAGGTGGGCACCAATTTGATAATGAGTGAATTTAAGACTGAAGCACATGTTACGATACCGGACCAACCGGTAACCTGACCGGATGAACCGGTAACCGAAAAACCGCTTAATAAGAATACAATAATAAGTTAATTTTATTTTTCGTGATTTTTAATTTAAAAAATTAGCGGTCAAGATCTTATAAATAAACCACGCTTTAATAAAACTGAAAAACCACTTCTCTCTCTCTCTCTCTCTCTGTGGCTTTTGCTGAAGTTCAAAGCTTTTCTTGTTGTTGTTGTTGTTTGTTTCCTTATGTGAAGAAGTGGGTTTGTTTTATTTTTTAGTTTGGTATTGATCTTGGAAGGAAGTTTTATGCTTTTAGTTTGAAAGTTGAAGCTTTTGAGAGTGAAAATGGAGAGAGATTTCATGGGTTTGAACTCGAAAGAACCATTAGCTATGGTGAAGGAAGAGGTTAACAATGATGGGATAAGAGAAATAGGTGTGTGCATGTTCTTCTCATTTGCCTTTTTTAACCTGTTTATTTGTTTATAGAATCTTTCCTTTTTGCAATTTCAGTTTGTGTTACTTTTTGGTTAAGAAAACATGGGTTACTTTGTAAATTTTTATTTTTTGTTGTTTTGTTTTGTAACTTTGAATTGCTTGCATGGCTTGTTACATTAAGATATTAAGTCGTAATTTTCATTATAAGAAGTGCTAGTTTAATTTGAATAGTGCTTTCTCTGTATAAGTTGAGTGAAACTTATGTTAATTTATACCATGTAGTTGAAATTTTCCTAACTTTCATGTTAGGATTACAATTTTTTTTGGCTGCTTTGATTTGTTTAAGCTAAAAGCTTTCTGTGTGTGTTGCTGAAAACTTTTTTTGGTGAATCTTGTTGGGATTTGTAGGATTTGCTAAAGGTTCAGGTATACAGTGGTCCTTCTCTAACAAGGCATCTGCACTTCCTCACTTCATGTCCTTTAAGGTTGTTCAAGATGATAAGGCTAAAAAGGTTGTTTCTGATCCTTTGATGCCAACTGGTTTCATGCCTATCTCAGCTGCAGATGCATATGATCCAAGTCAAAAACGTTCAACAGCAGAAATTCAGGTTTGTTTTTCTTTCATTTAATGGTTATGTGAAAATAAATGTGTTATTTGATTCAATTATAATCGATTACTTTAGTTTGTTCTGCATGAGAAACATTCCAAATGAGTCCAATATGATTTGAACATTGACCATAAAGGGGTTCTTTTTCCTTAACAAAAAAGGTGGATGATTATTTCCGTGATTGTTTGAAAATATCTAAATTGAGTGGTTTAAAAGCGAAGTCCTGGGTTTTGTTGGCAAAAACTGATACTGGCATTGTATTTCCTTCATTGGTTTTTATTATATAGAAATCGTTCAATCACGATAGGCAAGGTGCGACTCATATTTCCCTGACATCTTATTCTGTGCAAAATGATGTGCCTTCTCTGCATCGTCCTCACGATGTGAAGACTTTTCCAGTCTCAAACCAGGGAATTTCAGTTTCTGTGAACAATCCTTTCTTCAAGAATCATTTCGGTACCAATGGTCAGAGTTTGGTTGGTGCTAACACAAAGCCACAAGTACTTGGAGGGATTCCTATTGCAACCTCACATTCAATTCTTCCCACCGCCGGTTCTGTTGGGTTCACTGAGCCATGGTAATTCTTAGAAGTGCCTTAATTCGTTTACTTTAATTAACATTCTGACAAGAAAGAAACTGCAGGTTTGAAACTTGACTAAAATATGTGTTTACTAGGAATGGTGTTAAAACCGATGGGGCTCCTGCTCAAATGACAATCTTTTATGCCGGTTCAGTGTGTGTCTATGATGATATCACCCCTGATAAGGTTTTCTTTCATTCACTCTCGTGAAAAATCCAGGCTCCTGTTAATTGTATTGCATCAATTGTGAGCATAAGTTAATTTTGGCATCTTTTTCAGGCTCAGGCTATTATGTTATTGGCCGGTAATGGAACTTCAGTGGCCCCAACTGTACCACAGCCAAAAGTTCAAGCTCAGGCACCCAGCTCAAAACCAGCAGCAGTTGATGCTGTTATTGTGAACCATACCATAAACACCCCACCGGGATCTGGTCTCTCGAGCCCTCTATCTGTTTCTTCACATACTGGTGCTCAGTCGGGAAGTGGGTCTAACAATACAGAAGAGCCGATGGCTACTAAAACTACAGGGGTTGCAACCACTCCTATTTGCAAATTGGAGCTCTCAAATGGGGTGAATGGGATGGGATCTGTTGCTTCAACAAGTGTGATACCTTCTGGTATGGCCTTGTTTTATTGAAGAGTTGTTCTAATACGTAGTCTGTAGAAGAACCTTTGTGATTTCGAATATTGAACTTTTGAGTTACTGATGTAAACACTGGTCTGTTAATTGAAGTCACGAAAACTATAGTTATTGAACTTTTGAGTTATTCTATAATCTTTTTAAGAAATTAAACCACCTTTTGCCAGCCAAGTAATGACTTTGTCACTGTGTTTATTGCTGACCTTCTCGGATATTTTACTAATTTGATTTATGGTTGCTGTGTTTGATGTATGAAGGACATTCAAACTTTTATGCTGCCATTCCACAGGCTCGGAAAGCATCCTTGGCTCTATTCTTGGAGAAGCGCAAACAAAGGTCAGTTTTTATACCATAAAATTTTCACAGACTGATTCTTAAGCAACTTTGCTGATAAAACACATATAGTCCTGGAAATCTGCTACTTACAATCGAGATTTATTCGCATGCAGGTCAATGAATGTGGCACCATACACCACCCATAAAAAAATCCCAGAAGGCTCCACCCAATAGAGTAGAGGCATTAACTTCTTAATAGCTTCTCTCTCAACAAGCAAGGAAGCTAACCGTGATGTAATGGCACCAATTTAGAAGGGTAATTTGCAAGTTTATGTAGTATGTTAAAATATGCTTAAGCGACTTTTGTTTTTCTTAAAAGAAAAGTGTAATCCTGACTTGGTATTATTTTAGTCTTAAGTAAGTTTCTAGTATGGGGTTTTCCCCTATTGTCATTTTTCTTTTGATGTGGAAAAACTTTTGCTTCCACATTATGACTTTTGATTACACTTTGTAACCATTTAATCATTGTTACATTGTGGAAATTATATATAGTTAAAATATATTTGTATGTATCTCTGATCAACTTTTAGTTCATGTTCTTGTTTGCCCATCTGGTTTTGTTAATCCTTGCCATCTCTATGTAAGTTTCACTTGAAACAGCCTAGTTTTGATTTGCATTTCAGTTTCTTCTGATGATTATAGTTTTAACTTATACCCAATTTGGAGTTGAAGAATATAAAGAGAAACATGATTTTTACAACTTCTTAGATTACTGATGGGGGTTGTAACAAAGACAAAATATATTCAATATAAATAATCAAGCAATGATATGCTCTACATGGACAGAGATGAAAGAGAAGATAGACAAAAATTAATAAATTTTATATATTTACTTATTTTTTAAGGGGTAATTGTGTAAACCCCATAAGCAATCTTTAATATACAACAAACCTCTGAAATATAATTAAGAAGTCCTTAAACCCTTAATGTTAGTAAAACTTAAAACAGAATTTACCTCTATCTTTAAAGAGATTAGACACATTAATGGAAACGGCAAAGGGTTCAAAGCTCTGTTTTAAAACCCAAACTAGACCGACTGGTTTAATCGAAAGTCGGTCTTTACTCCGGTTCGGATTAACATAAAAACTGGGAATGTAATTAAACCTATTTTGGACCGACAATGGATTGGAGGAACAGTACAAAATCGTCGGTCTGACCAGTCCGGGCTTAAAACAGTTCGTTATTTTTTGATATCTGATCCTAAAAAATTCATATTCTTAATTCCTAAACCAATTTGTAGCACTGTCTCATTCCCTATTTCATTTGAATAAAAAAACCAAATTGCATCTTTCATTTTCATCTTCTATTCTTCTTCACTTACTCTAAAATCTATAATGTAAAGAAGAAGAAGTAAAGGGAGGGGAAGGAAGAAGGAAGAGAAGAGGAGACAAGAGAAAGAGTAAGGAAGAAGATTAGAAGAAAGAAAAGAGGAGACGAAGAGAAAGAGAAGGAAGAAGAAAGAGAAGAGGAGAGAAAGGGGTGTGATGGGGAGAGAGAGAGAAAAAAGGAGAAAGAAGAAAGTGATGGGGACTGATGGCCTCATGGGAAGAGAGAAAAAAAGGAGAAAAATAGAAGTGATGGGAAGAGAGAAAAAAAGGAGAAAAATAGAAGTGATGGGAGAGAGAAAAAAATAATTAATAATAAAATTTATAGGGTGTATTTGTTTTATTTTAAACTTATCGAAATTTATAAGTAAATTTTAGGGATGTATTTGTTAGTTTTCAAACTTATAATAATTAATAAAATTGTTTAAAGATGTGACTACTATATACCGGTCAGACCGATCGATCCAATCGGTTGGACTGGTCAACCCACAAACCGACCCCTTGATCGGGTAAACAAGCGATTCGATTTTTAAAACAATGGTTCAAAGCTAAGTTTTACACTGTAAATTTATAGTTGGAAAAGTTAAATAAAATAAAAAGCATTTATAATGTTGATGGTGTCGCCTAAAAGTCAAAAGAATTTGCGTATCCTAAGTTGATGTCTATCCAACTTGGAGATGGAGAGGGGTCTTCAGAACCACAAATCTTTACCGTAAATAATTTGAAGAAGAAATGGCAGACAAATAAAATACCTGATTTGATATTTATCTTGTTATTCAACATTCACGTCCCTCTCCCTTCACTAACAATGGGTGGCTCTCCTTTGCCCGTCTATTAACCCTTAATCTCTTACTTTCTTTCCATAAGTTTATATTCCCTTAGACTTATGGTATCTTAATCTCTGTCTGGTTGAGTTTATTTATAGATTAAAGTTTTATTTTTATTTTTTAAATATTTATAACTCTTTTTTGAAAGGATTTATATAATTTGATGAACAATGTTATATTTAAAACTAAGTCATACAAATAGAGAAAAAATAAATGACAGAGAAGTTATTTTACATAAATTTTGTATAACTTTTATCTATTTATATAACTTAGTTATAAGCAAAATATTATTGATTTTGAATTACTGTTATAACTTCTTTTTAAACGTATTTAAGATGTTAAAATACTAAAAAAAAAAATCATATTATTTTATTATAAAGTATTATATATCCCTAAAATATAAATCGAATTAGTTGTCATTGGAAATTTGATTTTATATATAGTATTACTGTTATATGTACCAGGAAAAAGGCTCCTCGGCCCCTGGTATTCAACCAGTAACTATGTCCCCTGATTGGCGTCATTGATTCAGAATTCTCTTGTGAAAAATCAACATAAAAATATTTATAATTACTTTAAAAAAAAAATGAAAAATCCAGTTGGCAGTTGGTTGACAAATTAGCCACGTTTTTAATGAAAGTAATTCTTTATAGAGAGGCAAAGGGGCCACACCCACTTGTATTTTGTCTCAGATATAAATTTTTTCATTTTTGTGGGTCATTAATTTGGATGTCCTGTCACAATTCGTCACTTTCTGATTTCTATTGGGTCAATTTCTTTCATAAATCCTAATCTTTTTGGGCCCTCACACTGTTTGGTCACTTCAATACACATGGAAAATTGGCCTATTTTAGTGAAACCACCATCTTGTGACTAATAATTGATTTGATCGACTCTACAAAGAGAAATCAGTTGTGATGAAAAATTGAAAATTATTAAATGTAGGTGGTGTAAGGTCTAAGCCTAGAGCCTACCCGAAATTCTACCCATCAAGTCATGCCATGGTTGCAATATCTAATCATTTATAACATAATGTATAAAAATTCCAAAAAAAAAAAAAAAAAAAAAAAACACTCTCGAATGACAAATCTTTTAACATTGAGGTTAACTATATAGAAGGTTTTTGTATTTGCATGAGAGATACCACACATTGTGAATTATTTTGGTCCATAAACTTGTAAGGTGTTACGTGGCCTAAGGATAAACAAACTCTAATGGAGTCTAGATACCTCAATCACCTTAAAAAAAAAAAAAAAAAAGACATTTGAGAAACCCATTCATCTTTCTGTGCCATTTTCATCCTCGCCATTAGAGTTTAATTTTAGCTAACTTGGTCACTTTCATTGCCATCAGGTCGCATTCTTCTTTGTTGGACGGTCACAAACGAAGTAGAAAATGGAAATGGAAATGTGTCTACTTTTTTGGGCCCAGCCCAGGAGCTGCCGGTTGGTCTTGAAAACAACATGAAATCCACCACAATCACTTGATACTTAAAGATAGGCCTTCCGAAGAATCCGAACATTCACCGACACACGTACTCCTGTGGAATCAATGTACAGGATAATAGTATCTAAAATGGTAATTTTGCCATCGTCCTACCTCTTCAATTGAGACAAGAGGCAAACTGTTTTGACTGGGACAGAAATATCATTACTCTTATAACATAATTGAGCAATACTATCGAAAAATATATACCGAATTCATGCACTGACAAATATGATATCTTCATCTTTTTCTTTAAAAAAATTCATAATTACTCAACGATAATGATGATTTATCACTTTTCAACATAATTTACCAGATCGACGATGAGTATTTTGCTATTGATAAGTCCCAAAAATGATTTACAACATTATGAGACGTTTCTGTTCAGTGTCTGGCATCGTCCTTCATTCTCAAGTATTTTTATTTGATGCAACCATTCTAACTGTACAGAAATTTCCAGCATTCTTTTATAATACAACAAAATGTTCATATAATATACACGACATGCATGGTCAATATTATAAGGTTATTAAGGGTCGAATTTTTTTTCTCTAAAGTCCTAAGGTATCAAATGCGTCTTCTTTTGTTAATAGTGCTAGCGGTAGCCTATCCACAAGAGAATGCCTTAACCGTATAACCAAGATGGCTGCAGTTTAGTCCAAATTATAACTTTCATCGGTTGTTATGCTACAGTAGCTTTGGATTGATGGCATCATAATGCAGTAGGATTCAGAGCAAAGAGTTACCCCAACTGGTTACGCTTTCATTACTTAATGAGTGCTAACTGAAAAATTTGCAGTCAAAAGATCAACCTATGAGAAATCATGATAACCCGACTGTCGAGGGATTCTGAACCAGCTTCGGATGAGTTGCCGCATATATTGAAGAATTCATATCAGGTTTCAAATGGGAAAGAAGGTGCTGTACATCAGGACGTAAATTTTCAGCTGCTTTCCCACAAAGTGTCAAAACCTCCGGTCTAGGCTTGCTGTTGGACTGCACAGGTCCTCCCTGTCCTTCATAATGGACGACATGATGGCTGAAAAAGACAAGAATTTTAGTCATTTTAAGTACTTTAGCGGGAACAACAAAGCAGAAAATCAAACACCAGGTAAAGGTCAAGAAACCAGAACATACAGGAAGTCAATGAGATCTGCTATTTCCGATGCTTCAACAGGAGTTGATGGCTGTGAGTTCTTCCCAAAAACATCCGCCATTGTGTTTAGAAGCAATGCGAGAGTCTGAAAAACAGTTCTCAAAAGTTAAGCATAACCAATTAAGAAAATGTTTAACATTAATATACAACCCAATTTGTAATTATTGAGAAAAATATCTTGATTTTCAAGTGTCTCGTAGAGGCTGGGCAGGTTTTCACTAAAGTTAGAAGCTGATTATGTATAGTGACAACACTGTAGAGAAAAGTCTAACTAAAATTTTGATCTCAACAGTTGTCCCTTCTTTCTGATAGAAATAAAATGATACAGTTTCATGTATTAAAAAGGAAAAAAGTTTGGGAAGTTCCTTCCATCCAGCCTAAACATCAATAAAAGAAGATAAAAAAGGAAGAAAAAAAGATAGCGATGAGTGACTTTCTATACCCATGATATTCATATGGAATATGGTATAAATTCCTTTGTGGTATCCAAGAAAGTACTAAAAAGATAGAGATGAGTGACTTTCTATACCTTGTTGAAGAGTGTGTGGGCATTGGCCAGTCTTGGGAGCAATGGACCCATGATACGAAATGCTATTCTTAACATCGCTACTGTTGTTATTGGCCTGAGATGTTTAATGATGGCATGTGTCCCTTCTAGCCATTCTTGTGGGAGATTACTGAAGAAAGCATGAAGCAATGCAACTATGTTACCTGG